CCAGAGGTCCTCCCGAACCGCTGCTGTTGACCAACCTGAGCACATCTGTTTGGTCTGTCAACACGGACGGCGGCGCCCAGCGATGGAGGAAGGTTTCAGTCGATGCTGGATCATCACATAATCTGCTGCTGCCAGAGTCCACTGGAAAATCAGCCAATTTAAGAATTTAGTCAGTCTGTCAGGCTGGCCCCGAACACTACAGTACCCATGAGCCTCTGCTGCAGGCTGTGGACACGAGGCTTTAAACTCAAACGTTACCTTTACGACTTTTTTGGCTTCCCAAATATTTCAAGTCCTGCTTCTTTCAGTTAGGACAGCCGGAGCTCCCAGCTAACGTCTACGGACGTGTCGTTCACCTTTTCCTCACCTGCAGGTTTCACTGCTGCAGTTCATTATGGTCTCGACCAGGCCTCCATCCATCGTCTTCAGCTGCTCGCCTGCTAACTGGCACCAAACACAGAGAGCCCAGTGTTAGCTTCTCTCTGTCTCCAATTTAAACTTTTACTTTTAACGCCCGAGCTCTTCTTACCTGAGCTCCTCTCTGTTCATGCTCCAGGGAAAACCACGAATGTCCAGCTCAAAATGACCGCTGTCCATCCCACGGACTGACCTCACATCTCGTGGTGACAGATGCTTCTGTGTGGCAGCTCCCAGAGTCTCTCTTTAAATATTAGATCTGCACAAACACTTTAATTTAAATCACTACTAAAGAGACATTTTTATGTCCTGGCTTTTAACACACTGACCCAAACATTTGTCTTATTTTAATACTTTTAGTTATTGTTTTAATTCTTTTCTTGTCCTATCATTGTTTTTTATTGTTATTATTGTTTTACATTGTTTCCTTTTAATCACATTTTTATATTGTTAAACACTTTGTGCAGCATCGTCCGTCTGGAAACGTGCTGTAGAAATAAATTTAACCTTGACGCCCTAATAATGCTAACGTTAAGCCTTAATGATCACTATGACCAAGACAGTGTTTTATCAGGATGTAAACGTGTATATTTTAATCTGGAAGTCTGACCCACTGCTGGAGCCTCTAGTGGTCATTAGAGGAAGTGCAGTTGATGCGGCTTCCTCTTTCAGCCTGAGAGGTGATTGGTTGGCTAATCGTGGCTGCTTCTTTGTCTTTAGCAGAGTGAGTATGTGAAGCCTGAGCTTGAGGTGGAGGATGACGGAGGTGGTGTGTAGATTTTGGCTGAACGCGCCGTGGGTCTGAGGTCCTGTGTGCAGAAGCAGCTCGTGCACGTGGCGTCTCTGCAGAACGGCGGCGGAGCGTCCTGTGCTCGTCTGATGAAACGGCGGCCTCAGATTGAGCAACATGATCTCTCACGCCGCAGCGCTGTGGAACTGGGTCACTCTTAAACCAACAAGGCTCTATTATTAGC